CACCCCAGAATCCAGTGTCACCCACCCCAGAATCCAGTGTCACCCACTGGGCTGTTGGGTTTGAAGCTGAGGATGGAAATGTGGCCGATCCTTGGTTCTTGATCAAGGATCCTTGATCCTTCCCTGGGAGGCTGGGAGACCCTGGCACAGGTTTTCCCCCTTCCTCTTCCCCCCTGTCATTTCTCCCTGTATTAAAAGGGTACAGAACTCAGGTACAGACACTTTAGGAACAAAGAGTCACTTTTTTTTCCCCTTTTACTCACTTCTCTGTGCACTGAGGTGTGAAAAGCCATTTTGGGCATTTCCAAGCTATTATCCTCCTCTCCCTGGAAGATGAAACGTTGGGAAACCAAAGGGAGAGCTGGGATTGGCAGCTCTGGGGCTGCTGCTGCTGCTTTTCTGGTGCAGCCCCTGCCCTGAACCAGAGTGTGTCCATTCCCCACAGTCCCCTTCCCTTCCCTGCATTATCTGCAGCAAATTACCCACATTACACAGTCCCTGTCTCACACAGGGTCCCTGAGAGCCCCTTCCAGGGCCTAAAGGGGCTCCAGGAGAGCTGGACAGGGACTGGGGACAAGGGATGGAGGGACAGGACACAGGGAATGGCTTCCCACTGCCAGAGGGCAGGGATAGATGGGATTTTGGGAAGGAATTCCTCCCTGGGAGGGTGGGGAGGCCCTGGCCCAGGTTGCCCAGAGAAGCTGTGGCTGCCCCTGGATCCCTGGAAGTGTCCAAGGCCAGGTTGGACGGGGCTTGGAGCAACCTGGGCTGGTGGAAGGTGTCCCTGCCCATGGCAGGGGATGAGCTTTAGGGTCCCTTCCCACCCAAAGCATTCCATGATTCCACGACACCTCGATGTGCCTGGAGGTCCTCCCCACCAAACCCCATGGATTTAGGAATGCTGAGAGCTCAGCAAACAGGGCTGGGACAGGTTTGGGCTGAACCTCCACCCTCTTTATCTGCACCCCCGAGCCTGTGTGTGGATATTTTGTAGGAGAGCTGGGATTTGGGGGGGTGTTGTTCCCTCCCTCAGAGCTGTGCTCCTGCCAGCTGGGGTGGGCATTCCTCGTGTCACTTGGGAAAACAGGGAAGTAGGACACCCTCACACAAAGGGAGCTGCACTCCGCTGGATTTGCCGGTTGTAAGGATTTATAATCCTGTTAGGAGAGATTAGGCCTGGTAATTTTATGCACATTTAGTCTCCTCTGAGGCAAAGCCGAGGCATTAAACTCCTCACTGAGCATTCCAGATGGGATTGGAGCTGCTGCTCTGCACGCAGAGGGCTGGGATTCCACCCACTTCACCACCACAGTGCTCCCAAATAATCCCTGGAAATGCAATTGGACGGGTAGGGAACGACCCGGAGCTGTGGCTGGGACGGGGCTCCCGTGGATTTTGGGGGAGAGCACAGAAAATAGAGCCAAATTGTCCTTTTATTCCTAGTGGCTTCTGTTCCAGCTGTGTGCCTAGAAATGCTGTGTAGGTAGTGAAATGTGCTGTAGTGTCGCTGCTCAATTCCACAGTGTCTCTCAAAAGGTATTTTTTCTTTTTTCTTTTCTTTTTCCCTTTTCTTTTTTTTTTGTTTTTGTTTTTGTTTTGTTTTGTTCTTTTCGTTTTTGTTTTTGTTTTCAACTAGGACCCCTACTATGGCTGGTGGCCTATTTTCTATTGACAGAAACTACTTTGAAGAGATAGGAACTTACGATGCAGGAATGGATATCTGGGGTGGCGAGAATCTTGAAATGTCTTTTAGGGTAATTGCTGTTTTCCTTCATTTTCTGTCCAAAACCCCCCACAAGTTGTGCTGTACCAGTTCCTACCCCACGCTCAGGGCACTCTTAGGTGGCTTAAATTTGAATTTCCGAGGATTTGGGGAACCACCTCCTTGCAATATTTCCACCCTTTTTACTGCATGAAATATTTTAATGCTCTTTGGGGGTTTTTATGCTTTCAAAATTATGTGTATTTTAGTAATTCCTTCTTACTAGAAACGAGGCTTCCCGTGAGCTGATGTTGATGACAAATATTGATGTAAATTTGTATATAAAGCAATATAAATATATGTTTTAACAGAAGTTTTGGAGGTTATGACATCATGAACTTCCAAGTTCTGACTGGGATTTTGGGGCTGTGTGAGGGAAATTCCCCATCCTGCAGAAAATCCCTGTGTTCCTGCTGGGATAGGTGTGTTCCCATGGCATGGATAACACCTCGGAGGGAAATGCATTTAATAACTGTCCTTTAGACAGAAAGGAAAGCTGGAAAATGGAGGCTTTGATGAGTTCTGGTTGGCAGGGATGTTGGAAATGGCTTTGAACTGCTCTGAGGGGGCACAATTTGCAGGAATTCTGGGCAATGACCCCCGGAATTCCTACATGGGACCCACAGCATGTCCTGGAGAGGCCCTTTGTCCCTTTTTTCTGTCTTTCCTGTCCAACCAGGACCATTTTCCACGGCAGAAACCCCTTTGAAGGTTTTTATGAAGGAGGTATTTCTAGAGGGGACCAACTGAGAATTTAAAAGCATTTTCAGGCCGTTTCTATCGACTTTATTCTTTGGCTTTGCAGTAAAATCGAAAGGTTGAGTTACTTCTGCTGAGCCTGGGTGTTTGAAATGAGTAATTTCAACGTTTTTTTGGTGTGTACACCCCTAAAATACTCCTGTGTAGGAGGTTGTTTTCCCTGCAGGCTGATTTCCCATGTTTTAGAGCAGCTCCCTGGAGCACAGGGTGACTGGCACTGCTTTAAAGCATCAAAAAATGTGCCTGTCCCAGATTAAATCACTGTGTTCTTGCTGTTCCTCGGGATTCCTGGAAAGTTCCCTGGCATTTGAAGATGAGAATTGCTGATGCACATCAAGCCCTGGCAGAGGGAACCTCGAGGCCTTTTGTTACTGCTGGAATTTGTCCCTTTTAGAGGCTTTTGTGGGACAGGTTTTGGGTCATTCCTGTGGAAAGGGCCTGTTCTTGTCAGGGAAATCTAAAATACTTCACTCTCCTTTGGGAAGAACAGTGAGTTTTCATCCTAAAAAAGATAATCCCTAAAAACCCCAACTGCAACACAAAGGGATAAACAAAGGGGTTTTGTTAAGGGTCTATATTGGAGAATATGGACATGGCAGGGGGGTGGAATTAAGATGAGTTTTAAGGTCCCTTCCACTCCAAACCATTTTGGGATTCTGGGATTCTATAAATACCTGGAATGACACAAAGCAGCCTGTGATCATTTATCCAGCTTCCAGCAAAGGGTAAAGAAATGCCTTAAATGGGATATTCCTAATTCCTGCTCTTGCTTGAATAATGTTCATATGTTTTGGGAAGCTTTTCCTGAGGAGCTGAGCAGTTTAATGGTGTTATTTTGTCTTCCCCTGGTGCTGTTCTGCTCTGGCTCTTGGCAGCTTGAATTCTATTCCATATTTCTCTCAGTAAGCCAGAGATGGGCTTAACTTCTATAAATTGAGTGAGAATACCAGCATAAGATCTTCATTTCAGCTTTGAATTATAAATCTTGGTCCCAAATGCGTGGAGGGACAGAGACCAACAATATCCGTGCTCTCCACAGAAATCCCAGGGGATAAAGGCAGGGCAGCAGCTCTGCCCTTGCTCTGATGAGCAGAATAGAAGAATATAATCAGAATAGAACAATATAAGACTATAATAAGAATATAATCAGAATATAAGAATATAATCAGAATATAAAATACTTTTTAAGGCCGAGGGGAGGGTAGCAAGGAGAGGAGACACGTGAATTTTGGGGCATGAATTTCATATTGGAGAAACATGGTTTTTTTTGTTTTCAGAAGATTTTCCCACTTAAATTTAAAGAACCATTGCCAGCCTGAAATATGTGCACGGCCTAAGAGAGGGCTTGGTGTTAAGAATAGAAATAAAATGAATAAAATGATGAATTTCCAGCCCTGGGATATTATCCCAAACCAATGCCATTATCCCAAACATCAGCATTGAAAGGATTTGCAGCCTTTTTAGGCCCCCAGAAATTTTGGGGAGGGCTCTGGAGCAGCCTCCACAGGGTATAATTTGATTATTTCTGGGCAAATCAATATTTTGTCTTTGTGCTGTGCTGCTGCTCGCTGCTGATTGCCCTGTAATGACTCCTTTATGGGATGTCTTTTAATAAAGGCAATTGGAAAAAAATAATAATAGTCCTGGCAGGAATCTCTTCCAGCTCTAAAGAGTCTGATTTAATAACGAAAACCTCATTTCTTCTTAAGTCTTATTTTTATTTATAGAATTCCTTAAGCATTTTTAATTTTCTGTTGTATTCTCTAAATGTTTTTTCCCAGTTGGAGAATGCCCTGAAAACTTGCTACTCAGAAAGGAGCTCGTGTGGCTTTGGGAAGGGTATTAAAAAATAATCTCTGCACCAGGAAAAAAAAGATTATTCTTTAGAATAATCCAAGTAGGCCAAAGCAGGGCTGGGGGAAGGAAATGTGTGCTCTGACAGGGGTAAGATGCTGCTTATTTGAGATTTCTGGCAGCTGTTGGAAGTGTAGAAGAGGACACAGAAATGTGGATTTCCTCAGGGATGTGACAAGTTCTTGGGCTCTAAAGTTTGTTTGACTGTTGTGGGAGTTCTTACAGGAACTGAGTAAGGGGCAGGGAGGGTTAATTCTCTTGTATCTTAGTGTGGTTCCAATTAAAAATCTTTCTTGATGGAAAAAACTGCTGGGCTGGAGCCCCTCTGCTCTGGAGCCAGGCTGGGAGAGCTGGGAATGTTCACCTGGAGAAGAGAAGGATCCAGGGAGAGCTGAGAGCCCCTTGCAGGGCCTAAAGGGGCTCCAGGAGAGCTGGAGAGGGACTGGGGACAAGGGATGGAGGGACAGGACACAGGAAATGGCTTCCCACTGCCAGAGGGCAGGGAGAGATGGGATATTGGGAAGGAATTGCTGGCTGGGAGGGTGGGGAGGCCCTGGCCCAGGTTGGGCAGAGAAGCTGTGGCTGCCCCTGGATCCCTGGAAGTGTCCAAGGCCAGGTTGGAGCAACCTGGGCTGGTGGAAGGTGTCCCTGCCCATGGCAGGGGATGGGACTGGGTGAGATTTAAGCCCAAACCATCCTGGAATTCTGTGGATGCCTTCCCAGGGGCAGCAGATCATTAACAGCAATCTCACCCTGCCCCTGTGGGAGGTCTCACCTCCAGCTGCAGAATTCCAGGTGCAGCAGAGCATTGGAACACATGGAAATTACCAGTTTTGTCCCAATCCCTCCTCTGGATTTTGGGATCCCAGGGCTGTGTGGGCTTAGTTGGCTCCCGGGGCTGGTTCGTGCCTGGGAGGTTATTTTGGAAGTACAGGGTGACATTGGAATTAATTCTGCATGCTGGGGAGTGGAATTTGGGGAATATAAATCCCTAATCACCTGGCAAGCAGATGGAAAAGCTCTCTGTGCTTTTCAGGATTCCTCAGCTGTGTGAGTGCATGAACTCATTGGAGGAGCAGAGTTTGCTCACAAATTCTACTTAAAAATGTACTTGTGTGGTTGCATTTTTCCCTTTCTTTGGGTTGAATTAATTTTTTCTATGTCAAGATTCTTAGGATTCTCTAGGGAAAATATTCAAGATATACCAGTCCAGTTGATTTCACTAGAGAGATTTTTGGTATTAGGTTTCTGAGGGTATTTTTCTCCTGTTTATTACTTACACATCATGCATTCCAGAGCCTGTGGGTTGAACAGATCCCTGAAATCCCACAGTCCTTCGCCAGGATAGGAATTTGTGGAAAGCAGTCGGGATGTTCCTGGAGCTGTTTTTATATTGGGGGTTTATCATCATATGGGAGGGGGGAGTTTTGATGTTGGTCCAGATCCCCCAAACACCCTGTTTTGGGAATTCCCAAACCCTCCAAAGTGCTCCAAAGTGCCTTTCCCTTCCTGGATCCTGCCCAGGGTTCCACCCCCTGGACCATCCCATCTGCCAGCAGCAGTGACATTATCCCAGACAAATGCCATTATCCCAAACATAAGCATTGAAAGGGTTTGCAGCCCTTTTAGGCCCTTTTACATGGGAGCATCCAGGAAGGTTGATTTGTTCAGGTTTCCTAAATAATATTGAAAAAAGTCTTTTTTATAGGAAGAGGGTGCAGGTTCATTCCCACTCCTGTTCCAGCTGTTCCAGGGAGCAGATTGCACCCAGGAGAGCCAAAAATGCGTTTTCCAAGTGTCCAGGAACAGATATTTTTACAAAGGGTGGCATAGGAGGAACTTCCTGCCAGGGAGAGCAGCAGAACTGGTGGGGAAGTTGTGGGTCCCCCTCCCTGAGCTGCCCAGTTCCTCCCAGTTGCTTTGTGAGCACACCAGTTGTGTGTATTTTGGGTTTATCCCGTGCTCCCTTTGGGGCTGTTTGTGTTCCCTGGGATCCATCAGGTCCCCCCTGAGCAGCCAAACCCGGGGTGTTAAAAACAGGGGTAGTGGGATGTTGTCCTTGCTGATCCCACAGAGCCACGTCACTCCTCATGCTAATGGAATTAGGGAAAGGAGGGAGCCCTAATTAAATCAAATCTGCATTAGGTTGCCATGGTAACTCAGGGCTGTGTCAAGGAGCTCTAATTACAAGGCTTCATCAGTGTTCCTGTTCAAACCACCCAATGGCTCCTAAACTTGGTGGTTTGTCACCAGGAGGGGACTGGTAATAAAGAATTAAATTATACATACATATATATATACTTACACACATATTTTTATATATATATATAAGTATAATAGATATAATATAAATATTATATACAATGTAAACATTATGTATTTTATATATAATGCATAGTATATAGCATAAATATTTTATATTATTATTGCATATTATGTTCTCATGTAATATGTGTAATATATGTATAATATGTGTAACATAATATATATTATATATATAATTGTATGTAACATATAATTATATAAATATTATATATACTATATATTATACATAATTATATAATATAAAATATAATAAAATTATATATAGTATATAATTATATATAATATATAACTATATATAATATATAAATATATATAATTATATATAAAACTTATATATAATATATAAATATATATGATATATAAAAAATATATAATATATAGTTTTATATATAAGATATAAATATATAATTATATATAAAATATATAATTATATATACTATATAGTTTTATATATAATATATAAGTATACATAATTATATATATAATTAAATGTGCAATTATATATATAATATATATAAATATATATAAATTTTTTGTATCTGTAACGTTCTTCCCTGTTTCTTTAAACATGAAATCCCACAAAATCCATACCCTGCATTAACCCCTTAGGGTCTGACCCCTTTCTCAGTGGGATGAGGTCAGACAGCCAAGTGACCCATTCCCCCCAGCTCCCCCCTCACAGTTAAATCTCCCCCATTTCGCTGCCATCCAGAGCTGTACCCCCGAAATTCCCATAAAACCTTCCCTTAAAATTCCCAGGGAGATAAGTGGGGGGCCACGTGCTGCCCTTGCTGTGGGTGCCCCCCATGGCGGGGGTTCCTTTGACCCGGGTCTCCCCCTTTTCCCCTCAGGTGTGGCAGTGCGGGGGCTCCCTGGAGATCGTCACCTGCTCCCATGTGGGCCACGTGTTCCGCAAGGCCACCCCCTACACCTTCCCAGGGGGCACCGGCCACGTCATCAACAAGAACAACCGCAGGCTGGCCGAGGTGTGGATGGACGAGTTCAAGGACTTCTTCTACATCATCTCCCCTGGTAGGGCAGTGTTCCCTCAGCGTTGTTCCCTCAGCGTTGTTCCCTCACAGCGTTGTTCCCTCAGCATCATTCCCTCAGCGTTGTTCCCTCAACATTGTTCCCTCAGCATCGTTTCCTCAGCATCATTCCCTCGGCATCATTCCCTCAGCGTTGTTCCCTCAGCGTTTTTCCCTCGGCATTGTCCCCTCAGCATTCTGGTCTGGGGAGCTGGGAAGGGGCGGTGTGAGGGAGGTGTGGATGGATGAGTTCAAGGACTTCTTCTACATCATCTCCCCGGGTAGGGCAGCGTTCCCTCAGCATTGTTCCCTCGGCATCATTCCCTCGGCATCATTCCCTCGGCATTGTTCCCTTGGCATTGTTCCCTCAGCAGTGTTCCCTCAGTATTGTTCCCTCGGCATTGTCCCCTCAGCGTTGTCCCCTCAGCGTTGTTCCCTCAGCATCCTTCCCTCAGCATCCTTCCCTCAGCATTGCCCCCTCAGCGTTGTTCCCTCACAGCGTTGTTCCCTCAGCATTGTCCCCTCGGCATTTTTCCCTCAGCGTTCCGGTCTGGGGAGCTGGGAAGGGGAGGTGTCAGGGAGGTGTGGATGTGTCGAGGAGTCATGGAATGGTTTGGGTGGGAAAAGCCCTCTTAGATCCTCCAGTCCAACCATTCCCCAGCACTGCTCGGGCCACCACTGACCCCTGTCCCCAAGTGACACATCACCATGGATTTTAAATCCCTCCAGGGCTGGGCATTCCAAACCTCCCTGGGCAGCCCCTGCCAAGGCCTCACCACCCTTTCCAGGAGGAAATTCCTGCTGATGTCCAACCTGAGCCTCCCCTGGCACAGCCTGAGGCCGTTCCCTCTCCTCCTGTCCCTTGTTCCCTGGGAGCAGAGCCCGACCCCCCCCGGCTCCCCCCTCCTGTCAGGGGGTTGCAGAGCCAGAAGGTCCCCCCTGAGCCTCCTTTGCTCCAGGATGAGCCCCCCCAGCTCCCTCAGCCCCTCCTGCTGCTCCAGACCCTTCCCTGGACACGCTCCAGCCCCTCCATGTCAAACCCTCTGTGTTCTGTTCCCAAAGAAAACCATGTTAGTTAAGGCCCCTCCTCTCCTGCAGTTCACAGGGTTTTTTTGGAATGTTGTTCCCATAATGTTCATTTGCAGCCAAGCAGGGAAGGTCTCTGACCCAGAGTTGGACCAGGTTATCCCTAAAATCCCTGAAGGTCCCTGGGCAGGATGTCGGTGGGAGAGGCAGCAGAGATGCTCTGGGTCATGGAAAGCAGGAGCCCTTGGGAGCTCAATCCTAAGTGCCAGGAATTCCTATCAGGAATTCCCTTCTCTGCAGGTGGTGGAGAGCAGCCATGGAGTGTGGAAGTGATTGTTGCTGTTTTATTGTGTGCTCTGGGATAATTTCCCCATTTTTCCGTCTTTAAAGCTCCTTCCAATTGAAATTCTGGCGCAGCAGAGTCAGTTTAGATTTTCAGTGTCACCAAGAAGCAAATAATACCTGTGGGAGTTTTTAATTTCATCTCCTCTGTTGCAACTCAGCTCATTCCAGCTGCTGTCCTGCTTTTTTTCCACAAGCTGTTTCGGGACTTGGATTTTTCCAGGGGTTCAGGACATCTCAGCCAACACTCAGGTGCCAGGATTTAATCCCAGGCTGGGAATCACTCTGGGTTTGTGCTCCTCTTATCCCATGTGTCCTGTGGCTGCTCAGAAAACATTCTGGATCCATCCTGGAAAACCTTTAGGAAGGGGAAAAAAAATTAGAGCACCCTAAAAATAACTATGCACATCTTAAGTGCCCTGTTAGTGGTGTAAAAAAGGTATTTATGTGTCTATACCTTAGAGATACATTAAATATAGAGCTGGAGAGGGACTTGGGACAGGGGCCTGGTCTTTCTGTGAGGAAAAACCACCATTCCCTTCTGAAACGAGCCCAAATCAGCTGAAATTTGGTGCTTCTGAACGTGCCCTCTCATCTTTACAGTCACACATTCCCATGTTTGCCCAAGGTTTTGATACAAAATTCCAACAGAGAACCCCTGGTCACGATTTCATTGAAAGAAAAGGGTGAAATCAGGTCAATAAAAGTGGTGTTGGCAGGACAAGGTTTGTGGAATTCAAAATTTCCTGCCTGTGGCACAGGAAAAAGCTTTGGTATAGGTGGTCTTGGTATTTTCTGCTCTCTTTTGAAGTTATTTATTAATGTGCTGTATTAATTGAGAGATAAAATGAGATAATGATGTTGCCCAGGATTAAGAAGCAAATGGAGGAGAAAATATTTAGAAAACAAAATTATCATTTTAACTGAAAATTCTCCATAAAAATGCATGGGAAATAGTAGATTTTTTTTTTTAAATAGGTCATTCCTAAAGATCAGAAATTGTTCCCAGTATTTTTAATCTGCTTTTTTACCCTTTTCCCTTCATTTATTAATCAAAAAAAGGGGAGATCTCTGCATAATTCTGCTTGAGAACAAAGCAAGTTGCATGTTAGTAATTAGGTCTCTGAAGCTGTTATCCATCAGCACAGACTCATCTTCCCACTCCTCCCCTGGGATCTGATTAATTGGATTCCTCAGTTGATATCCCAGGAGAGAGAGGAGCCAATGGTTCTTCACAGTGAAGTGTGTTAAATATCTCTCTCAGCATAATTAGGGTGCACACCTAATAATTGTATTCCAGATTAAAATCTGATCAATAGAGTTGTTTGTAAAAACAGAACAGTGCTGAAGAGGAGCCCATCTGAAATTTTTGGGGGTCTTGCACATATTTTAAACTGGTGCCTTCCCTTATCCTTGTGTGTGGGTAAGAAAAAAACTCTTTATTTCTGGGAGCCTTGAATGTGGCCATGGATGTGTTGCCTGTTTGTTGCCACCTGCTGAGATGAGTCAGGAACTAGAATTTTTAATAAATCCAACCTAGATTTAAAAAAAAAAGGGAAAAAAATTCCCAAAATATCCCTGCAGTGAGGAACACTTGTCTGTTTGGTTTAGGGTAACACTGCACTGACAGGGAGCTTTGGGTTTTCCTTGGAGCCTGGCTCAGAGCTGCAGCTCCAGCCACGAGCCAAATCATTCAGGAGGGCTTAAAAAACCCTCAGAAACGCTGGATACACTCGAATGGGATTAAAATGAAAGGAAAGAAAGGCAGTGGAGGAATTTGCTCTGTAAAACAGGAGCTGGTGTGTGGCCCTGGCCCAGTTGGATCAGTGGTTGGAGCCAGGGCTCATTTGGGATGAGATTAAAATGGTCCTGGGAGGTGGGAATGGGAGGGATTTCCCTCCTAAATTTGTTTGGGATGAGATTAAAATGGTCCTGGGAGGTGGGAATGGGAGGGATTTCCCTCCTAAATTCATTTGGGATGAGATTAAAATGGTCCTGGGAGGTAGGAATGGGAGGGATTTCCCTCCTAAATCAGGACAACCCGTTGCAATTGTCTGACTGCACAAAGGTTTTTTCCCTGTTTGCTTGGGAAGGCCCCATGCCCAGAGGGGAGTGGAAATCCCCATCCCAGAGCTGCAAAAGAACATATTCCTTTATTTTCAGCAATTCTCTCTCCTTCCCCCCATGCCAGGCTTTTATTGGCATCTCTACCAAGGTGTCCATTTCTTTCATTAACAGCAGCTAATCTGTGGAATTAGCAGTCAGCTTGCCACTGGTTTGACTTTAAGTCATTAAATGAGCAATGGAAATGATGGGGATCCACAGCCCAGGGTCACACTCCAGGTGCTTCTGTGCTCTTATCCCAACTTTCCGTGGAGCTGCTCCAGGACTGGAGCCCCTCTGCTCTGGAGCCAGGCTGGGAGAGCTGGGGGGGTTCCCCTGGAGAAGAGGAGGCTCCAGGGAGAGCTGAGAGCCCCTTGCAGGGCCTAAAGGGGCTCCAGGAGAGCTGGAGAGGGACTGGGGACAAGGGATGGAGGGACAGGACACAGGGAATGTCTTCCCACTGCCAGAGGGCAGGGAGAGATGGGATATTGGGAAGGAATTGCTGGCTGGGAGGGTGGGGAGGCCCTGGCCCAGGTTGGGCAGAGAAGCTGTGGCTGCCCCTGGATCCCTGGAAGTGTCCAAGGCCAGGTTGGATGGGGCTTGGAGCAACCTGGGCTGGTGGAAGGTGTCCCTGCCCATGGCAGGGGGTGGCACTGGATGGGCTTTAAGGTCCCTTCCAGCCCAAACCATTCCATGATTCCATGATTAACTCTCTCCCTTAAAGGGCACTCCTTGGATGAGGAGCTGGTGATCCAGGTGTTCAGAGCTGAGCTCCAGCCAGATGTGCACAGAGTGACTTCTCTGCTCACATTGTTTTCCCTTTGAATCCACTGAAAATCCCCATATTCAGTAAAACAACCACTTTCTCCCAGGCTTTTCCAGCCACCAGACTGTGGCAAACCTCTCACATGGATTAAGTTTTCCAGGTGTTACTCTTACATAAATAAAACTATTCTCAGTTCTTCTATTTCATTCCATTTTTCTCCATCTTTACCAACATGAATTAATATCTCCTTGCTCAGCAATGGCACCTTTTGCCACATTTGGAGCTGTGCCCTTGTCTGCCCGTTTTCAGGATATGCCTGTTAGGGGAGGAAAAAAAATCAGGTGTAATACAAGCCAGCAACCATTTAATTTGTGCTGCAAACACATCTGCTGCTCCCTGGAAACAATCTGCTGCCTCCCTGAGATATTTTAAATCCCTTTTTTCTGCAGCTTCCCCTGGTGTTTCATTCCTTTGTTGCACCCAAGGACGTTTTCCTTAACGTTTCCTTATTTAAAGTGGGAGCAGACTTGAGTCATTCCTTATTTTTATGTTTCCTGTGAGTCCCATCGATTATTCAGCAAGTGGGGACAATAAATAGGGATTGATTTATAATGGCCTGGCTGTAAATGGAGCAGGAGGGAATAGAGAGGGTTGCTGGGATCCATATAGATGAGGTCCTTGCTTGGAGACAGAGCAGGGGGTGTGCAAGTTGGTGCAAGATGAGGAGAATATATATAGATATATATAGATAAATATATAAATATTTATAGATATAATATAGATATATAGGTAAATATATAAATATATATTTATATAGATATATAAAAATACTTATAGATATAATATAGATATATAGATAAAAATATAAATAAATAAATATTTATATATATAAATATAGATAGATATAGATATAGATAAATATATAAAATAAAGGAGCTTTGGGGTCAGGGAATATGCATTTAGGAAAGAAAGGGAAGACACTTGTAAGAGAAAGGGAGGTGATGCCCAGTGCCAAACACACCAAAGTCTCCCCATCTCAGCATCTGTTAAAATGGAAAACCAGAATTTATTTTGCTGGAGTTTGTTTAATTACAGAAATTGAAGTGTGAAGTTGAGTGGGATTGAGTGGGAAAGGGTTTGTTGGTTTTTCTATCCAGGAATTTCAGGGCTGAACCTGAATGGAAGGTGGGAATGGAAATCCCTGGGAGCACTGGGAAGTGAAATGGAAACAAGGTGTTGGTTGAATCCCAGGGGTGTTTTCCCTGAGAGCTGGTGGTTCTGGGCTGGTTTGGAACTGGAACCTTTGGGTCCTTTTGGGGTGAATAAAGAAGGACACACAAAGCAAGGGAACAGCCCTGAGGTGTTGCCACTCCGTGGGAGCCCAGGTTTGGTGCTGAGGGGGTTCAGTTCTTGTAATTTAAATCAGTGACTGTGTAATTGCCATTGGGAAAACTAAAATATTAACTAACAGCTGACCTTTAGATGCTTTTCTCCTCCTGAACAGTCCAGTGGAACTCTGGGATCAATCCCCTTGCTTGCAGAGCAGCTGATAAATTACCTCTGTTTCTTTGGGGGGAAAAGTATAAAAATCCTGTAATTCTTTGAGACTTGGATAAAACCTCCCCAAGCCCCTCCCTGTTCAGAAGATGCCCTTGGAGCTGCAGATTCCACTGCTGTTCATCACCTCCAGCAGCTCTGCTTGAGGACAGCACCTGGATTTCACCTGGATTTGATTTCCCTTCGCTCCTCCACCACCCCAGAAGTCTTTGTGATTTAATTTCTCTCTCTGAGTTATGCTTGAGTGTTTCATTGGAATATTTCCACTCCCTGAAGTTTGTCATTTCATGCTTCCCCAGAGCCTGAGCAGGTGCCACTTAAATTCCCTGGCACCAGGCAAGAACGTGGGGCTCCTGAGGAGTTTTTGCTGCTGGAGCATCAGTTGCTCCTGGCCATTGTCATCAGGATGAAGTGCTTCCAGGAGCACTTGGATTTAGCCTGGAGCAAGAACTGGCAGCTGTATTTCAGTTAATTATCCAGAATTACATCATCTCCTACAATTACACAGCGATACACAAACCTGGTTTGTCAGAGATGTAACCAGCAAATATTCGAAATGTGGGCGTGAGTAGGGATCCAAAATCAGTGTTTTGGGTAGTAATGGACAGTTTTACTAGGGTTTGTGCTGAATTTCTCTAAAAATTGCCATCACCTTGTTCTTTGAGGTGTGATTTCCTGACAGAATATTCTGCTACCCTTGGAGCTTCACTTGTGTGACAGTTTCAAAGTAAGAGCCATAAATAGTGGGAAGTAGAAGATGAAGGAAATGCAGGATGGATTTCAGAGATAAATCCAGGAGTGTTGTCCAAACTGTTCCAGATGAGGGCTGGGAGTTGCTGCTGCTTTGCCAGCCCTGGTTGCCCACAGCTCTCGTCCAGAATGAGATTTAACTGGGCTACAGGGAATTTTTGACTTGCTTTTGGTTCACTTGGAAGTGTCCAAGGCCAGGTTGGACGGGGCTTGGAGCAACCTGGGCTGGTGGAAGGTGTCCCTGCCCATGGAAGGGGAATGGAACGAGAGGAGCTTTAAGGTCGCTCTCAACCCAAACCATTCCATGATTGTGGGATGATTTAATTTTATATAATGATTTAATTTTGTATAATCCTTAGTGAGGCTGATGTCCCTCCCATCCCACTGCACCCCAATCCCAGCACGTGGACACGGATAACTGGGAGCTGGTGCCGGCTGGAGGTGGCTCTGGGATGGTCCAAAGGGGATTTTGCTCAGCTCTTCTCTCGCCATTCCAGGTGTGGTGAAGGTGGATTATGGAGACGTGTCCGTCAGGAAGGCCCTGAGGGAAAGCCTCAAGTGCAAACCCTTCTCCTGGTACCTGGAGAACATCTACCCTGACTCCCAGATCCCGCGGCGCTACTACTCCCTGGGAGAGGTACGGGATGGGCACGGGGATACAGGAAACTGGGAATGCGGGGAACCAGGAGTGCAGGAAACAGGGATACAGGGAACCAGGAGTGCAGGAAACAAGGAATGCAGGGAGCCAGGACTGCAGGGAACAAGGAATGCAGGGAGCCAGGAGTACAGGAAACAAGGAATGCAGGGAACCAGGAGTGCAGGAAACAAGGGATTCAGGGAGCCAGG